CTGTGGTTCTTGTCTGCCGGGACTGAAGAAGGGGCTGTGATTCAGAAATCAGCATCACTGAGTGGATGGAATCTGGGAAGGGTTCCCCGAGAGCACAGAGAAGCTGCCACCCAGTCTTGATGGAGTGGAAGGGTCATGGAGAGCAGCTGAGGGGCACCAGGTGCAGGGTTGGAGCCCCTGGAGAGAGCCCAGGAGGGGCCACGGGTGAAAGTGAAGCCTAGTTGTAGCCAAAGACCCCACCGTTTTTGAGATGTCAGTCCCATGGGATGACCACCAAGAACGGCCCCAGCAATGGAGCCAGCCTGAGTCTAGAAGAGAAGCCATGTGTGCTAGAGAAAGCAGACCCAGAGGAGGGACCCAAGCCCCTTGGAAGAGCTCAGAAGATCATGAATCTAGATAATTGGATATTGAATTGTTTACATTTTTGGAGTTAGGTTTTGCTTTGTTCAGATTGGAGCTGCGTCCTGATTCTTCCCTCTTGAAGTAGGAAAGAACTTAATTTTTTTTTTTTTTACTTCTACAGGAACCCACAGTTGAGAGACTGAATTTTAAGACTTTGGATTTTAAAGAAATTGAATTTTTAAAGGCGGTGTGACGTTTACAACGTGGAACGTGTGTGTCGTGATGTTGATATTGATGAGCGATCTTGGGGAAGAACGAGAAAGGAAAGGTTATGACTTCATGTGTTTCTGTGTCAGGTTGACAAGGGGTCAACTTAGGCTGGCTAGTTTTATGTCAACTTGATGCAAGCTAGAGTTATCTGAAAGGAGGGAACTTCAATTAAGAAAATGCCATAAGGCCTTTCTCAATGATCTGGCCATAAGGTGTTTTCTTAATTAGTGACTGATGGCGGGGGCGGGGGGAGCAGCCCACTGTGGGTAGGACCAACCTTGGGCAGGTGTCCTGGGTTTTATAAGAGAGCAGGCTGAGCAAGCCATAATGAGCAAGCCAGTAAGAGGCACCTGTCCCCCATGAGCTCTGTGGCAGCTCTCGCCTCTAGGATCCTGTTCTCCTTGAGTTTCTGGCCTGACTTCCTTCAGTGACGGACTACAGTCTGGAAGTGTAAGACAAATAAACCCTTTCCCCCTCAGTTTGCTTTTGGTTCTGGTGTTTCATCACAGCGATAGTAGCCCTAACTAAGACAGTTGGGGGTATACAAGAAGCATTTGCTCCTTTCTTGCAACTTTCATGTAAAGCCAACTGTGCTTAAAAAAACAGTCTATTAAAAATCAACTCTATTAGTTAAAAACATCTTAAGACTCTCCAGAAGAGGAAAAAAGACAGTTTCACCTGAGCAAACAAAGAAATTATTCCATACTGTATAATAAAGCGGATTAAACTGCCATCTAACATGCTAGTTTATCACGGCAGACTTTTAACTGAAATAATACACACAGTAAAACACCAGGAACAAAATGAACATGATTTCTATTTCAGAACTTGAGGAGACCTTAGAGATGGATGGATGGGTTTAGACAGACATAGAAATCAGCCAGTTGTAAATATCAAATACTCCCCATGCCTCTGGGAAGGGGAAATTGCTCAGATTTTCCTGATCAAGAAGTTAGGCATGTGGGAGAAAACCAACTTAGCGATAGGAATGTTGTTGAAAGTTTATGTTAATGCCTTGGAGTATATCCCACGTTACTAGATATATCTGCACCCAGATGGTTTAATCTGGGCGGTGCTAACATCATGGATGGCTTAGGGTTCCTGAAGCTATTTCTTAGACACATAAAGGGCCTACCTCTTTAGCTGGTATAAAACTCAAGACACGCTATAACCTACTGCAAATCTAGGATGTGCTTAATCATGGAGATTGCTGAAGAAAGTTACTAATCTTCCATTGGTTTTTGAGCTCTAATGTGTAAAATGAAGGCAACAGTAACATGTGTTGAGCATCCCTAATCTGAAACCATGATGCTCCACGGACTCAAAACCCTGATAACTTTCTGAATGTCAACACAATGGCACACATGGAAAATTCTCTGTGTAATGGGTTACAATAAAAAGGATGGTACACTATAAAATACTGCATAACATTATCTTTGGGCTTTGTGTACAAGGTGCACGTGGAGCAGAATCTCATTATGCATATATAAATAAACTGAGAAGAACTGTAATTCCGATTACTTCGGGGCCCAAGCATCTTGGATAAGGGCAGTGCCCACCTCATGGCCTAATGGAAACACTATGCAGTTCTCTTGGGCTAGGCATGCAAATGCTGAAGGTTCTTAGCCCTAATGAGCTGACTTCAGCAGACCTCAACTTTATTTTCGGGATTATTTATCAGGATGCCTTAGGCTGGTGGCAGTGGGAAGACACACGTTAGGTGATGATTCTCCCGGTCCAGGAGAATCACGTGTTTACACATTGCTCCCCTCCAGGGAGCTCTCAATGCAGTGAAGGTAGGAGTCACATCCTGGCCATCTCTGTTAGTGAACCGCACTTAAGAAAACATTTCTCAAAGATCTAATCTTCTCATCGGGAATTCATTTCCACTAGAGTGCATACTACCGAGCAGAAATTTTTTTTTCTCAATTAAAAGATTAAACTGGGTTAAGTTTTGATCTGCAACGCTTTAACCTAATACTATTACTGTACACTGACTTTCAAGAACATCTATGTCCTCAAAGTATGTCCCCTGGCAAGAACTTGATTAAACTGGGACTTGAGGCTAGACCACCATCATGTTAAAAGCAAAGAAAACATTGGGGGCGGGGGTTAGACTGAAATGAGCTGTGGTTGAGATGCACTCATCTCAACTTAGTTGGTGAAATTCCTAAGTCACAACACAACAGTCCCAGACAACAGCTCCCATCTTTGCAAGGGCGCCAGTGAAGGCAGGTTGTGTTACTAGATCGAGACCTGAAATTCATTCCACCAAGAAGGCAAATGAGATTTTATGATATTCTAAGAAACAATGAAGTTTCAATTTTCATGTAAATGACCCAAAATAAACACAAACAGGGAGCGAACCAGAAAAAATGCCCCCGAAGAACAGAGGAATGGTTTCTAAATAGGCAGGGTTTTCTCCCCACTAAGTTTCATTGTAGGCAATAGAGAAGTATTTAACTCAACTATTCTCTGTTGAGATTTTAAAATGGCTTTGCTATTACTATCAGGAGGTAATTTCAGATCCATTTAGTTCTGAGAAATTGATTGATGCTCATATCACAACTCTGGTGTATCTTAATGACGCTTCAGGCACAATACAATGCGTTTGTTGACTAGAACCCTGCGGGAGCTGGACTGCGGTAATTCAGTGACTAGTACAAAGAGATGTCAAGTTCATTTCTTAGAGAGGCTCCTGGCAATCTCTGAAATCTTCAAGGTTTGATGATGGAAAACTTTTCTTTTTTCTTCGCTGTTTAGTGGTAACACAGTTTAGGGCAGACACGTTCTATTCAGAACACAAGATTCTCAGAATTATAAAACCAGGAAACTCCTCAAGGTGACCCAACCTGAAGTCATTCTCTGGGGATGGAAACAGAGGCTCTGGAGTGGCCAGTGGGACCCAGGGTCTGCAAGTTCCTGCTGTCCAGTCAGACGGACTTAAACTCTGGTCTGGGTTGTCAAGTTATCCTCCGTGTGACCTTGGAAGGGTTATTTAGCTTCTCTAAACATCAGTTTCTTCATCCGTAAGTGGGGACAATACAGCAGGACACACTGTAATCGCTCAGTAAACATTATCAGCTACCATTGTGTTGTGAATAAAGGAACTCCGAGGCAGGAAGGCAGTGAGAAATTATCTAGGATCAAAATGTGTTAGTACCACGCTCAGAGTATGACTACGATCTCAATCATTTTGATACCTGTTTGGTCAAGATATTAAATTAGTGATTGTACACCAAGGCCTTATTCTCATGGAGATTCACATATATTTGATTCCAGTTATCACTAGACACTTCACATCTGTCTCAAAACTGTGTTAGCTCAGTGCATACTTTCCATTATCCAAGCTCCAAACTCTTCGCTCATATGAAATTAATGACGATATGCTGGCCACAAATAAAAGCTAGGGCCCTCTCTCTAAGGGTCTGAGATTGGAATTCTGATGATTTGCTGTTCTGAACAGGTCCCAAAGTCTTAATGTTTTAGTGCCAGAGATTTCCATATGATTCACACGTCAGCTCTGGAGGAAGCGAGAATGAGAGTCTTGGGAGAAGTGAAATGTACTTTGCTTAAAACTCAGGGTTCTAAACTGGGCGGTGGTGGCGCACGCCTTTAATCCCAGCACTCGGGAGGCAGAGGCACGCGGATCTCTGTGAGTTGGAGGCCAGCCTGGTCTACTAGAGCTAGTTCCAGGATAGGCTCCAAAGCTATAGAGAAAACCTATCTTGAAAAAGCAAAAAACAAAACAAAACAAACCCCCCAGAAACCAAAACAACAACAACAACAACAGCAACAACAAAACAACTCAGGGTTCTAGCAGCCATTGGTCATGGATGTTCATGATTACACTTCTGCCAGTATCTACTACCCCGAAATGTTCCACACCCTCAGTGTCAAGTGTTCTTAAATAAAACCAAGAACAACAAACAAAACAAAACAAAAAACCCCAAGAACAATTAAGAAGAAGCCACACAAAGTCCACTCTGTCTAATACGCTCCTGGTACTTGTCCTGCTTTTGACGGGTTTCGGTGTATTAGCAGACTCTCCAGCGAGCGTTCTCAGACTGTCAAATTGGTGCTGAAAACATTTTCTTGAAACAGACTAAAGATTAACCCCAATCTGGAGAACTGATCAGCGTGTGGACAGCTAACTTGCATTTTCTAAAAACGATCAAAAGCAAATGTAACAGGATCTAAATATAGCAGGGAGACATCATCATTAACTACAGCCAGATAAGCCCAAGTCTAAACACCCACAGCGCCCAGACACCTCTTCATGTGACGCCAACGTGATCAACAGACCAACTGCCAAAGGTGGCAATTTGTGTGCTACACCCGGTACTTAGTATTTCAGCTACTAAGACGAAACGGTTTGGCAAACTCACCCGCATCTTTGCGCAGGCATCTTGGGTTGACTCTGTCCCCCTAAGCTCTTTTATCAGCATAGAACCTAAATACTAAAACACACAAAAATCAGAAGGACATATTACAAGGAGAGTTACAAACATGAGTAATGATTTGAAAGCAAACCGTGGGAAGGCCACCGGCGAGGTTTCTTGGCTGTGAGCAGTTAAACACTCTGACGCAACTAGTGTTAACTGATCCCTATAAAGGTGTGGAACACGGCAGGGTGAGCCATGACTTCTGGGGGCTATAAATTGATCTTTACAAACATTGGGGCGTTTTCTGAAGATGTCAACTTTCAAATCATATTTAACTGCAAAATCTAAAACGTTTTCCCATTTTTTTTGAGGCAGCAATGTCTGCAGAAATATATCGCACTACTCTCAGTGAAATTGCAGGGTTGTACGCGAGAGCTGAGGGGCGAGGCCATGTGGTCCCCCGCTAGGGCTTATTCTGCAGCGTAGGTAATTAAGATGGGGCTGTTAGGAGGCTGAGACGCAGCTTTGAACTTTTTTTTTTTTTTTTAAATTCACAGCTGTGTGCCCAGTTCTTCATCCACCTGAGAATGCTTGGCATTTTACAGGGACAGAGCTCACTCCCTGGTGCAGAGGGACAGACGAGGAGCTGGGGAAGAAAACCTCCCCAGCATGATACGCCATGTGGCTGCTCTGTGACTGAATCATGGATTTCTGCTACATTCTCTTGTGTCTGATGGGACACATAAATTTAAGCAAAAACGTCTTTGCTGTCTGTCTGTCTCCATTCCCCTACATTTACAATAAAATCAATTTATTCATCAACTTTTTAAATCTCCAGTTGGTTCTTTCTACTTTGCCTCTCTTCCATACCCTAAGAAATATTTTTACATGTATTTTGAAGTCTGAACCAAAATAAGAGTTGCAGAAGAGGTTGGAAGACAGTGTCCTGTTCTGGTTCTGGTGGAGGCACCATGCAGGCACAGGCTTTTCTGGCGGTCCCGAGGACCAGGAGAGCACAGGTTCATGGAGAATGTGTAAGGCAAGGTGGCCAAGGCTCAGACTAGGCTCTAGACCTAGGACCTTTTTCAGAAAGTCTCAGAAGTATTAGGTTTGAGCTTTGGAGGAAGCCATAAGCTAATGGAGAAGAAGACAGCACAGTGTAATATGCCCAGACTAGGAGGAGATTACCAGACTGCGTCTTCATCCTTAAGGAAAACGATCTCAGGCAAATCTTTGTCTTTTTACATTTTTAGGAACCTTTGCCCTAATTAAAGCATTTCTTTTAAAGAGAGTCGGTTTCAAGGTTCAGCCATCTTCCCCCTACCCCAGTGTCGTCATGACAACCACCACCTGTTCCAAAGCCTACAGGACTTGCTGAACATTGACTGTTCACACTTCCTGGGTAAGCACAAGATCCCTTTCACCCCATAAAAAGGAAAAGAAAGAAAAAACAAAAAAACCGAAACAAAACGACATCAACCAACCAACCAGCTAATAAAGTCAAACCAAACCAAATTCAGTCCTGGAATCCCATCCCATCGCTGAGGACAATAGAAAGAATCTTGCATTTATAGAACGTGCCAGACCGACTTACTGAGGGCTGCTACATTTACACTCCCTTCCTTTGATTTTACCTATTATTTATGGAGCTGTGGATGGAACCCAGGGCCTCGCGGATACTAGGCCAACATTCTAGTTAAAATTGGGCGTTAACCCATGGTTTTTGAAATCCACTTTACACAGAGGCAGAGAACAAAACTTAACACTAACTGGATTTAAAGGGTTCCAAAGCTCCAATGACCTGGGCATTTTCAGGGAAAAAAGGAAGGGAAAAGAGACCCTTCAGAAATGACCGTGATGGACATTCTGGTACAGTTTCAATGACTACAAACCAATCAGGGAACATATCCTCTGTCTCCCCTGGGCTCAAATACTGAGTCTAGGTAACTTACAAACGCTTTGTAGTCACAGGACTGGAAGATGAGCTTCTCTGGATGGTGCTGCCAGTACTGGACCGGAGTTGAGGCTGTGGCTTCATTTGGAGGTCGCAAAGTGATAGACGGTTCTCCCCAGTCCCCTGTCTGGAAATGACATTTATTTTAGAGGCAGTACAGGCAGTGAACAGGTTCATTCTCTCCAGCTAGTCTGGGTTTACCTAACACACCTGAGCTATAAATGCACAATGCATTTAGGTAATATTATGTGCATAAATATTTATTATTTGTTTTTATACGAACTAGTTATCTTTCTGTTTCCTAAAGCTGAGTATAAAGAATTATTCTATTTTCAAAATTATTCTATTTTCAAAATTATTCTATTTTCAGAATGAAGCCCTAGGCTAACTAATTTTAAAAGCAAAACATGAGAATATTAGTAAGCAATTTACCAATTCATAATATTCTGTTACAACAGAAAAGTATGTTTGATTTTTTTTGAAAGACTGAAAATTTCAGCTTGAATTCCCTTCATCTTCGAATACATAGTCTCACTGATTTTATTTCTCAACTATGGCATTATCACGTAACTATGAAAATCTTTGAATCTGCGGAGAAAGGTTTTTACAGGTAAGACACTAAAGAAGACACTAAAACAAGAACTTACTAACGGGTAACAGCTAATTTCCCTCATCGGAATTCAACTGCATAGATGCAGTGTTCCTAAGATGGCCCTGGATGTACTCAGCTGCCTTCTGAGGCATTGCGGGGGTCCACACTCTGGAATGCAGTTCTGCTCACAGGAGCATGTGCATGTATGTGAGACCCCTGGACCCAGAAGCATGTCACATTTGATGGAATGTCCTATGGTACATATACCCACTAAGACCGACCTAAAAGAGGCCATTCCGTCACCTACTGTCACTGTGATTTGTTTGACATGGACGAGCACTTATATCCTCCAAGCGCTATCCTGGCAGGTCTTCTCTTGGCTCTCATCTGACCTGCACGTCACAGGCAGAGTCCATTTTATTCTTTCCCATGCTAAGGTTTCTGGCTTCCCAAAATGCAATTCTTTGTTCTCAAATGGACACAAGGAAAACTAGGCTATCTAAGTGTCTCCACCACTCCTCTCTCCTAACCCAAACGTGGCTAGTCTTACAGAATTTTAAGACTTTATTTTCATCAGGTGTTAGAAACATATAACAGGGCCTTATGAACTCCCAGACCAAATAAAGCTTGGCTGGGGACCACGTTTAGTGGAGTTCTAGCAGAAGGGCTGACACGCTGCGGGGGTTCTGGGAAGAATTTTTAAGGCGTCTCTGTCTCCCAGAGGCTCGTTCTTGGAGAAACACAGGAAGTGTGTACTTAGAGCCCCAGAAAGGCTGTGGTAATCCCATAGGCTCAGGAGCTCGCGCCTCCAGCCAAGGCTCAGACCAGCGAGCACCATGTTCTCTGTGCACTGTAGAATTCTGTTAGGTGGGGACAGAGGCGGCTGCCAAAGATAGAAAGCGTGAGGCAAGGGCTCTGCCTTCTGGACCTTTCTAACTGGCTTGGAAAAGCGGGAAGAAAAATTCGGAGTCCTGTAGAAAGGCACAGGCCTTTCCACGGCAGCGCACCTGGAGCCTCTCCTTTGTGCACGGCTCCCCTGGTATCACAGGTGAGCCTGGTCAGCGTCCTGTCCATCACCCCTGGGCTTCTCACGGGAGCCTGCGTCTAATGAGAGCTCCTTATACCTTTGCTCTGTTCTTGGCCACTGTCCGTGTTTGTTTGTCTTTTAGTTGTTGGTTTGTCTGGATGTTGACTGATTTGCCTAGTCTCTGCTATTTTTGACACATATCATTTAAAATACATAATGGCATTTAAAACCTGGAACAGTAATATAAACACTTATTTTTGAACTTTATGCCCTATCCCTGGCTCACTACTGAATTTTCCCTTTATATGAGTTATCCGTAAAAGTAATAACTAATTGCAGTTAATTTCAGGATTAAGCTTTTCTCTGATTTTATATTTTGACATTTTCTTTTCCTTATTTCTCAAAGTCTTTTTTTTTAATTCTCTTTCTAGTCTTTATAAAGCTGGTTATGCATTGCCCTTAAAAACCCATATAGATGTCACCATGACGGCCCTGTGGAACTCACTACCTGTTTTAAAGTCGAGTCTAAGAACCTTTATAACCCTGGAAACACTGCAGCCACGAGCTCTTAAAAGGTCTCCCCCAAATCTAGCAAACGACCCTCCGGCATCCCGTTAAACTCCTCTCCCTCCCACCCTCCCTTGAGAAAGCGACACAACACAGCGAACAGGAGTCGAACACGTAAGTCACAGGGGACGCCGTTAACAGACCAACAGAAGTTTGCACGTAACTCCGTGGAATGATACAGAAGGAGGATGCGGGTGACATCAAAAGATCCTTTGGACCAGTGTCTGCTGACGTGACAATCAGCCAAGCAACAGATCTTCCAACGCTACTGCAGCTAGCTGAGGTATTCCTCGGTGGAGCTTGTCAGGCAGGAGTTGGGGGTTCCGAGGGCTGCCGGGGAAGGTTTGGGACTAGGGCTGGCCAGGAGTGGGAGCAGTAAAGCAGGGAAGTGGGGGGTGTCTCACAGGTTAGTGCATTAGGCATGCAGATCACGGGCAGATTCATCCTCACACTGTCCATTAGGTCACACGCCTAAACTTGAGTGTGGCTCTATAGATTTAATGCAGAGCTGCAAGTTGAATGCGGACCCCGATGTTTACATCACCCGCAGAAACTGTAGCGGCCATTTTGGGCGTACCAAGCCGAAGCACGCACTTCTCTGTTTGCAATCATCAACGATCACTTGTTGAGCCACCGTTTGACGAAATGAGTGGCAAACTGTTTTAGACAGTGCCATCAGCTGCTCTCCCATGGCTCCATTTGGTCCAAAAGTCGCAGATCACCTGTTTTGAGTTCAGAGTGATCCAAAGGACCTCCCCTAGAAGCTATGGAGGAGACAATTATAGGGGAGGGAAATATGATCCTTGCTTTATTTTCCTTGTAGTCTTGAAATGTTGCTCCAGTCCAAATATTTTAAAATTCCTCACAGGTAATGCATTGACCTTTCTGGAAACAGACTCCAAATCTCGTCATGCTTAGTGCTAGTTCCAGAAACTAGTCTTTGGATTGGATTTATAAGAAAAGAATTTTTTTTTTCCTGGAAATTCAACTTCCTCTCTCTTAAAAACACAAACAAAAAACCCCTCCAATCTATGACTATTTAGACGAATCAAAATGTTGATGCTTGGTCCCTTTTTTTTTTTTTTTTTTTTTTTTTTAAAGAGTCAATGTGAAAGGAAGAACTCCAAATGGGCTTAGTATCGTCTGCTAGTGAAAGATGGGAATGACCTTGACCTTGGGCTGGGATTCAGCTGTGCTAGTTGGCTGTCAGGAAAAGACAAAAGAGTTCAGAGAACAAGGGTGCCTCAGGTCTCAACCCAAGGTAGAATTAAAGCAGGAATGAGCCTTGGAGGAGCTGGCCCGGGTAGTTAGTATATGTAACAGAAGAAAATAATGAATGATAAATGACTTGTGCCTACATAATTTTGAAATTATATAAAGCAATTTCAACTGCGAAGCCTTGGGTTAGCTCTTGAAGAGCGAGCTATACCTTCATACACCCATACCATACCTGTATTTCTTCATGCAACTGTTTTAGGATTAAATCCATTAATTTTCCAGTTTAAAATTCTTATTAACAATTAATAAAAACCAAACAGAACTAAGAGAAGTCTTCTGCTTCAAATAATGGTTATAATAAAAAAAAATCCCTCTTCTTTAATGAGGAGTAGTCTAACCTTGGAAACAATGGCCCAACAATAGATAATTAGAATAAAAACAAAGTAGGACAATTTTGGTGTAGACCCTTGTATTTAAAACTGTTTCTGATACAGTGATCTTAGAGGACATCCTCAAGCAACTACAGAACACATCGAGTCGAATAGCTCCTAACAAATGTCTTCAGGCTCGCTCTTTAGCACTTAGAATACTTAGAGAAAGCTCTTTAGATTAGTAACCGTAATATGCTAAGAATTTGGTCATGGCTTAAAACTTCATTAATTTGGTATTTGTTATATGTTTTAATGTATGTATTATATGTGTATATCTTAAGGCTTTTTGTTTCATTTTTAAATAAATACACTGGAGGACATTCATTTAACAGGAGAAACTATACATCACTAATTAGCACTTCAAGAATTCAACCTTCTAACATTTTGGGAAAATATAATTTGATATTAAAGTTTTAAACGGAGCAGGTTCTCTCTGATAGGTATCCACCAACCACCAACTATTACTTCATACTCTGGATGAGCGTGAAAGACTTATAACTAGGCCACATATAAAATAATGCAATTAAATTAAACTTTATTTTATACCACTAGCTGAGAAATATAATACCACTAATCGAACTTTGTTATATAAAACTCACGAACGCCTCTTGGTAGACTTTTATTAGATCAATGACTCAGAAATGCAGCTTTTGACCTCTGGTATTTTATAAGGCAGTGCGAACTGACATAGAGGGAAATCGTTCCACGCAGCAAACATGGACAGGGCATATAGGGAAGTATTTTCTTTATTTTTAATTTTCTTCTAAAGAAAAGCTTTCCCAGGGAGATCAGCAAACAATTAAAAGCCTTGATTATGACTTAGCTTTCTAACATTATAGAGAGGTGGGATGTTTTCTAAGCCTTGTATAATTCTTTTTTTTTTTAAAAAAATTAAAATTGAGACTTAATTGATTTTTTTAAATAGAAGCTTTTAGATCTTTTCTGCTAGAGCCACTCCCACCTACCTGCTTATAAATTTAGATCTGAATATTAACAAACATTATTCTCTGTTTCTTCAGCCCACCTCGTGAACAGCTAACGGGATTTGAGGTGACAACTGCTACTCTGAGGCTTCACTTTCCATAATTCTGATGTTCTTCAGAGCAGGGCCACTCAATCACATGGAAGCAATTATATTTACCTCCCACAGTCACTAAGGGTTTCTAGAGTGCCACACAGAACTCCACGCTTGGGAACACACACACACACACACACACACACACACACACACACGTATTTGGACGTGACTGTAAGGGAGGATCTCCTACCAACATTCACACGCGGGAGAGCCAAGCGCTGCAGCAGTTGTTTGAAAAAGTGTCCAAGAACTAATAGCAGTGTATGGTCATGCAGCTGTTTGTTGCTGAACGTGCTCTATGGAGGAGGAGCAGGGATGATCACGTCTGAACACTTAAAATCTGATGTTAGCGCTGTGCACTTGGGAGGGGCTCAGGGTCACGGAGCACCAGGGCAGGCAGTGTGCAGGCATCACGGTCCTCAAGAGCCAGGAGTCCCATGCATGGGAGGATGGATGTACTTAATGCAGCACCCCCAGAGAAAGCCTGCACATGCCACCCCAAGAATTTCCAGTGATTCTCAACCAAGTGTCTCGAGCTCCTAGCTAGCCAATGGGGAAAGTTTCAGCGGCTGTGAACATAGAATTGTATTTTAAAATACAAATGTAAGATCTATGCCAGAATGTTTTCATTTCAAGTAATTTTTTTTCTAAAGTATACAAATGTGAAACATGACTATTCAAATATTAAGCATCTCAGAATAAAATGGGTCACAATTTCATATGCATTCCGAATATCAAATCAATACTGCCAAATGGAAAAAGGCTGAGAACCACCGTATCGCTCGCTCTGAGAATGCCTCCCTTCCTCCCCGGCTCTTCTCCCCCAACATCTCCATCAGCTGCAGGGAATCTCATGCAAGTCAAGTATTTCTCGCAAATAAAGTGCATGGATCCTCAGAATCACCGAACACAAAGTACAAAATAGCTTGTGGACATGAAGTACAAAAGGGGAAGAATGAGGCGGAGAGATACATGTCTCTCTAGATATCAGTTTATACCCTTTGCCTTTTCCCTGTGAAAGCAAGTTAAGACAGACACCCGGGATGAGAGCCAAAACTCACACAGGACAGGTTTTAACCGTGGATTACCAAACCAAGGCTGTTTCTCATTTTAGGACAGTGTTTACACGCCAACCAGTCACGAGGCACAGCAAACGGAGTGTATGTAATAGACAAGGCATTTCAGAAGCCAACAGACAGTACAAATTTTCCGCATCGCTGGGACGCAGTACCTTGGGCTCAGTGACACAACACCGCGACACAGCACACAGCGCGAGTTCAGAAAGAGAAACACAACCATTTGTAGCCTTACATTATGAACCTGATGGATCGCTGAGAAAGGAAATCCAGCGTTCTGATTCGTCCATATTTCACAGACAGACGACTGCTGGTATAAACAGAAAACTATCTTATCTTGTCAAGATTTAAAACATGGCAGCTACCCACGTATACCCAGGAAGGGAAGGAGAACAGCAGAATACACAAATTACATTTCTTAAAAAAAAAAAAAAACTTTAAAAGAATGCTTAGGGCATTCAAAGTTTAATAACTGACTTCCAAGTCATTCATTTTGCTTAAAAGTATGTTGGGTTGACTGGGAGTGTGGTGGGGGCAAAGGGCGAGACCATTTATGCATTAGTGCTGTATCAAGGGAAATTACCAATAAATTCACACCTCAGAAAAAGCAAACTATTTTTACTTTTGCCATAAAGAAAAAGCAGCATCTTTCCTTTCCATAGGGTTATTTTCAGCAAGTAATTATTTCATTGAATTCAAGACAGATGGGGAAGGAATCTTTAAAAATCAGTTAAACATCTGGATTTTTTCTTATCCTCAATGGTCAAGAATAAACAGTAAATGGCTACCAGCGGTCTCTAGGGCAGGACCCTGGGACTGAGGAACCACAGGTGCTAGATCCCCTGTAGCAGAGGGTGTATTGGAAGACCCTGGTTGAGGGGGAGGGACCGGGGCTAGGGGAGCTCAGCAGCCATTTACGGGTGCAGTGAGCCAGCATCTTAACTGGGCCCTCCACCATCCGAGCAGGAAATCTAAAACTGAGTAGTGCATGCTCAGAATCAAATGCTCCACCGACCCACACCCCCTCCTGGGTGCTGTGGCAGAGACTTCCGTAGAACCTGTGGTGCTCGTGGCCCGACTCTTTCAGAGTCCTTCCTGTGAATGTTGTCACCGTAAGACACACTGTAATAAATAGGCTGTGTGATCCTAGGACTTGGGAGGCCAAGGCAGGAGGTTTGCTGAGCTACAGAGGGAAAGTGTCAAAAACCAGAGTCCCCCCCCCCAAATAAAACCCAAAACACTGTGAAATTGAATAGTAAGATATGGTCTGAAGTCACTGAGCAAGTCCCATGTGTGGAGCGGACCAAGATCAGCGCAGGGAGGGGACACATACACCCACAATACGTCTTTGAAACCCACTGAGGGGAAGTTTCGGCCATTAACAAACTATGGGAGCCAGCTTGTCCGGATTGAGTTTCCTCCTCTGCCACCTTCACAGAGACAGACGTCAGCATCTCTCTCGTTACGATGCTTCTCCATCACACTGTGCCTTTGCTTTCTGGTCCTCCGCCGTCTGCCCAGTGCACTGGAGACAGAGTGCAGATGCCTGGTACTCTGTAAGGGAGCTACATCTCTGGGGTCTGGCCATCTCCCATTTATTGCTCCCACTTGAAGCTTTAAGCCATTTACTCTACAAAGAGGATCATCTTCCTATTTTCCAAAAATTCATTCTCTAGCAAGTCAAGTCTTGGGGGCTATTAACCCTACCTTCCCTATCCCTAATGGCTTCTTTCTGATTTAAAAGTATAGTGTCCCTCAGTATCTAGGGAGGATCAGTTCCAGGGCATAGTCTACCCACACCTCCTGTACACTGGAAAGAACGTAACACATGGGTGTACACCATACTGTCTCGGGAAGAATGACAAAGTTGTACAGCATTGTTCAGTATTTGTGATGTGCTGTTAGTTGCGCCTATGGAGGGCCACCTGTACAGACTCCAGGCTTAGTTGGATTACTGTCTTTACTGGCACTAAATGTATTCATAGGATGCCCTCAACCCAGTGGACCCTCTCACCCACATCATGAGTAAATTCTACCATGTGAGTCAAAGCCTCTAGCTCTTGCAGGGACTTCTAACAGCACGAGGAGCTGACCCGCCACCAGTCACCGACAGAAGACTTCAACATCCGGAGAGACCAAGGGACTGGCCGGAGTCCCATGGAGTTGGCATACAGAATAACTTCTGGGAAGCTGTGTGGGACTCCACCAGCAGGCAGAGGGATCAATGAGAGGTGTGGGACCCTGTCCTCCCTGATCCTTGAGACCAAAACACTGGATGCAAATAATGTTTACGCTAACCAGCTAAGCTTCCTGCTAGTTCTGTCCTTGGTTCTGCTACAGCCTGGTACATTAGCCTGAGGGATCTATTTCACTTTAAAATGGTAATTTCTCAACCTGCCTCAAAGAAGCTCAGGCACCAAGGCCCATCTAACCTGTCTGACATTGCCTTGAACCCTTGACCACCTGCCTGGGGAAAAACTCCCACAGAGGCCAGTTTCCCCAGCCCCCTCTGGGTGGGAGGAGTTTTCCTTTACTGGGGCCTTTAATCTCCTTCCTGCTCCTGGATGGGAGGAGGCCTTGCCCTTTTTGATCCTGGTTGCCCACTGGTATAAATACCCGACTTGAGTTTAATAAAGTTGCCATTTACTCTTGGTAAATGAGCAAAGGTCTCTTTTTTGTGTGTGTCTGTTTTTAACCCTCAGGACAATCGTCCATTCTCGTGGGCCCGAGTTCGGGAAGGCGCACGCCTGAATTGGGTGTGGTTATCCACTGGAAGGCGGGGTCTAACAGAGAGGGGCTTGGATTTCTGAGCCGCAGGCTGCTCCCCCATACAGACTCAAGTCCATAGTTACCTGAACACGTGAAAGTTTCATTCCCTTTTCGCCCTTGGTTTTGAACGGACCAGACTCACATAGGTACGTAGGAGACCACTTACTATTCTAGGTAGCACAGTTTCCTGGTCACTCTCAGTCATGAAGTGACCGGAAGATAGAAAAGGTGTAATATACTGTCTCGTTGCTGATTCTAACTTTTCCCTCCTTAGGATGGGCCAGTCTTGGGATGGAGGACACCAGAGGTAGTGAGCAAGGAGGGTTGAACTCTATCTTCTTCTAGGAGGAAGGGGTGGGTGGGTGGTGTGCTCTCTCTTGGCATGTCTTCTCTGTGTTTCCTTCAGAGGAGGACTTGGGGAAAAGATATGGTCTTTTCTCTTGTGAGCTGATTGCGTCTGATAGTTGGTGCTACCGTTCAGCACACACTAGTGTGGCGTGCAGGGGCAGGCTCACCACCCTGCTTCCTCGCTGCACACCCATGCCACTCACATGGCATGCACACATCCTGGCCGGATAGAACAGAAGGCAGACTTTTGGACCGTTCTTGGTCTTTGCCGGGACACACCTGTCTGTCCTCTGAGGTGCAGCAGGTGCTATGTGCATCCAAATCTATCTCGGGTAAAGAGGCCCCTGTGTGTGTCCTCTGAGTCCCTTTCCAGCCCTCTGCTGGGAAAGCATAAGGGAAGACTGCCCTGTATTCCACAGAAATGGAGGAAAAGCCTCAACCCTTTCTTCAGGGACTCCGTTCTCTACCTGTCCCCAGCGCTGAGCCTCCGGCCTGGGGACAAGGCCCTGACATTGGCAGGACATGCCTCACTGATTTTGGGAAACCCTGAGCAGGTATGAGCCTCTTGCGTCAGCAGCTTCTCTCTAGGATGTCCAGTGTTTAGTTTCTGTAGGGTAATGTCCTCTTAGTGTGCTGTTATATGGCGGTATCTTCTGACCATAACACTACCAGACAGAGCTAAGCAATGCGGAGAGTGCCTGATACAACTCTTATTTTATGATGTAGTCTCTCTGCTCACATATACTGAAGACTTCATGCGTGATCCTGCCCATTTGTAGCTGCTACAATAGTTAGTTTCTGTGGATAAACAGTCTTGGGTGTACAAGGAGTAAAAACTTCAAGATTCCCAATAGCTGTGTGAGTCGTTGTAAATGGCGAAAAGTCTGATTTTTAAAACACATCTTAAACGAAGGGAAGTTAATTAGCTGTCTTGGTTAGGAAGATTTTTTTTTTTTTAAAGTAGACACATTCCAGCGAGCCCAGTTGTTCTGCTGGCAGTAAATAATTTGCCAGATCTGCTTGCCCTCAAGGTCAGGCGGGTGAGCTGTAACCGATGACTTCCTAATATAAGATGGAGCTTCTGTTAGACAGGACCACGAGGCTACACACAGGTGAAGCCTTCAGTATGGACACTCACTCTACCTACGAAGATACGATTGCAGCACACAACACGTGCTGGGATTTCAAGGCTTTGAGAAAGAGAAGAAAGTACCAAGGACAACATTTTGTTTAGGATGGGAGGTGATCTAAAAATTGATGACTTAAAGTCATCTTTTTATTCAATAATTTAAATTATGTGTTCGTATGTGGGCTTATGCACATGAGCTCAGTGCCCTCAAAGGCCAGAAGAGAGGATTAAATTCCCTGGAGCTGGGGTCACAGGCACTTGTCATGGGTCCTCTACCAGAGCAGCACATGCTCCTAGCCATCCCTCCAGCCCCTAAAGCTAAGTTTTAATGAACCTTTAGAATATCCTCATCTGCAAAAGACAGTTCTTGGCTTACTTGTTTTATCAGGCCAACTCAACACGCACTCTATATGAGAGGGGGATTTTCTTTTTCCACAGCTAACTTTCCAGAGGCCCAGAACCCAGGAGGCATTCAGACATACACATGGACTCCATGAGGAGCTCTTGGTAAATGGTACTGTACCGCAGAGAGAGGCAGCACTGTTGTTCATTATCTTTTGCATTGGTCTACTTCATTATTGCCATTGGTCTACTTCATTATTGCCATTCGTACCACTAGTAAACCAAGCCACTGCCAACACATTTCCAGTAAGATGTTTCAGAGATTAACTTTACAGGGTTCTAAGAAAAAGAAGAAAAAAAAAGAGGAGGAAGAAGAGGAGGAGAAGGAAGAAGAAGATGAAGAAGAAAGAGGAGGGGAGAGGAGAAGAAAAAGAAGAGGAGAAAGAGGAGGAGAAGAAATCCTTATTTTTTCCTGATGAAGGCTAACAAAAGGCTGCCCGCTTTGCTGGAGAGATGGAACTCTTGCCACTCTCCCCCTGTAGCAGAGGCTGCTGCTGAGCTTGAAGACGGAGCTGCAAAAGGACACTGTCTCTCTGCTGTTTCATTTGCCTGTCAGTGTTTCCCCAACGCCCTGTCCACGTAGACCGCAAAAGCCGATTTAGTTTGTCTGAGCTGGAATTACCATGAAATCCAAATAAATGGGTTTAAGTAAAGATATGGTA